TTAGGGTCTTTGGTACTAGAGGAGCCTCCATCATGAAACCCAAAAAGGACATAAGCATAAGCATTGTATAGGGATATCCCTGCCTTATTGGGCTTCATGATAAGGGGCTTTATATGGGACTTCATGATATGGGGGTTTATATGGGATCTCGCTATCCGAAGTTTTGCTTCCCAAAGGGTTCTACAGTCTAGGGTTTAGGGTGTAAGGCTAGTTTAAAGTTAGAAAGTAGGGTTTCTACAGTAGGAATTAGAATTATGGCTAGGGTAAGTATCCCCACATAGGTACTTAGGACCCTTTGGGACATGGACCTTGCCGAACCCGGCGGTTTAGGGTTTAGGGTTAGGCGTTACCTCAACCCTAAACCCTAACCCCACATGAGGGTTTGGGGTGTAGTGTTTTAGGTTTTAGGGTACACGTTTGGGATGCGTTCGTGTCTCTTACTGCTTAGTAGAGCACTGTGATTGACACCCTAAACCCTAAACCGTGGTAACACCTCTGGGGAACTCATAAAAACTGGGCCCTTGCGGGTTTAGTTTTCAATCTTAGGGCTGACCCAGGGTTTAGATTTCGGGTTTGGTGTGTGGGCTGTTGGGGTTTGGGCTTGCGGATTTAGGGTTTAGGTTTCAGGGTTTACGGTTTAGGGTTGGGGTTTGGGCTTTGAGGTTTAGGTTTTAGTGTGTACTGGCCCTTTATGAAGCTATGCATTTCCGTGCAAAAGCTGAGCAACAGACTGATCAAACACAGGAGCAGACAAGGCCACAGACTAGCCACATGCCCCATACTATCTCCTACACCCTAAACCCTGCAATGCACTAAGTTGGCATGGATTCAGAGGTAAAGGTTAAGAGCCCAAGGCATCCCCCCCATACTAAGTATTACAATGTTACGAGGCAACTCGTAACTCTCAACGCTTCGAAGTCCTGACACACTAAAGTTTCAAACCTGGCCCTAAGCCCTAGGTTGGAAAGAGTCCAAGTGCCTGAAGTCGAAACCCCTGTGCCTAATGATTAGGTTCTTTGGACCCTTATGTTTACAGAAGGGACCGCTCTCTATGTTTAAGCCTCCAAAATCGGAACCCCCCCTGGAGACTTTTGGCATCGCGCCGGATTGGCTTTGGCGCCAGCTGTCCCCGAGTGCCCCGGAAGGCAATTTAATCTACAAGCGGCCAGGTAGGAGTTCACTATAGAAGTGCATAAGGGTTCCGGTTTAGGGTGTATAGGGTTTATAAAGTTTAGGGTTTTGGGTTTAGGGTTCAAGTTTAGAATTTAGGGTTTAGGTGCAGGCTTGGGGCTATTGAGGTCTTACATTAGAATTAGAAGGGTTCTTTACAGTCTATGTCTGCAAGCTTTGAATGTTGGATACTGCCCCCATGCAGCAACAGTTGAAGAATACTCATAGTATAGATATATAAGGCTTTACCAGTACCCCCTGCATAGACTGCTAATGTATGGGGGCAGTGCTCTCGGGGAATGTATTCTGATCGCTCATGAAAGTCATTTTCAGGGGGTCGTAATGCACTTGGCAAGTGGAACGCAGTGGCGCCCTTTTTGTTTATCACAGTTGGGTCCAAGTATATCATAATCAGATACTTTCCCAAATACTATGCTACTACACCCTGAAGCCAAAGCCCCTAAATCCTAAACCTTCCCTAGACCCCCAAAACTCGTACACTTTCCTAAGCCTAGGTCCAGGTACCTGATGACTAGGCCCTCATATCCTTCAACTCCTGTGCGAAAATCTTTGCGGACGGCGTGGTGAGGCTGGACCAAGACACCGGAAAAGCTCAGTGAGTAATCTAGGGGCTTGAACAATGACCTAAACGGTGTTGGGGTTCCTTCTTATAGTCAGTTGTAGTATAATATACCCCAAAACCCTATTTCAATTATGACTAAAAGGTCCCTATAGTACACATTGCATGTGGTCTTGCGCCAACCAGTGCGCAAGCCCAAGGGGCACCAGGACGTGATGCTGGCTTGCATGCTGCAAAGCACCGAAGCTCACTACAAGGCGACGCAGGCTTCCACGTCAGAAGAGCACTACATTTGCTCCCACCGGGGAGTGGTCAAATCCAAGACAGATGGGGAGCGCACTGCGCTGCGCTCCACCCGAGGGCTGATCTAGTTACAATGACCATGGCAATGCTACCACGACCAGGAATCGTTTGAAGAACATGTCGGATAATAGTGACACATAGGACAAGGTGGTTTTGATGCCTTCAATGCTGAATCCCTAATCCCGGAACCACCCTAGCCCGAAACCCCATAAACCCTAAGTGCATGCCGAGCTCGAGACCCGACGCTACACCCTGAAACCCAAACCCAAAATCCTCATGAACGAAAGCCAAGACCATAATGTAGGGGCCTAAATAATTACCTATACTATTTTAGGGGGGTTCCTTGTTATCGTTACGGTATAGTGGGCCCCAAAACCCTATTCTAATTAGTAAGTCCCCGATATTACCCCACCCAGCTTCCCCTCCCCAAACCCTAAACTCTAAACCCCAAACCCCCAACCCCAACCCAAACCATACAAGAAACTCCTAAACCCCCGCAAACCCTTAAACAGCCTTGCTCGAAAGCCCTTCTAGCACCCTCTACAAAGAACCCTCTGACATGAACCCTGAACCCTAAACCCAAAGCCCCAAGCCCAAGCCCAAGCCCTAAGCCCTAAACCCTAAACCCTAAGCCCTAAACCCTAAGCCCTAAACCCTAAGCCCTTACCCCTAAACCCCTATACCCTAAGCCCTAAACCCCAAACCGCCTAAACCCTAAACCCTAAACCCCAAGCCCTAAACCCTAAGCCCGAAACCCTAAGCCCGAAACCCTAAACCCTAAACCCTGAACCCGAAACCCTCAGCCCTCAACCGGAAGCCCTAAACCCCAAGCCCTAGGCCCCATTAAGGTTTTAGGGTTTAGGGTGGCTTGCTC